ATACTGAAATAAACAAGGCTTTTGCAGACCAGGGTCGGAGGGAAACAGAGAAATTTAAGTCTCACACACCTTAAGATTCATTATTAAAGTACCAACTTTAATTAAGAAAATTGCATAGAGCAACTCCATTTATAATGTCCCTCTATTGAGGCTATACTATACTGGCAAAATTTATAACTGTTGTCAGTTTTGTTGTAACATTGTTTAAAATATGGCAATACAAAATGAATGTAGTTATATTAGTAGTAGCAACAGAATATGACATTGAGGCTAATGGCTTTAATTTTAACGAAATATGCAGATTTTAAGTTCGTTCTGTATGCAAATAATTCGCCCAAACTTAACATTTAAGTAGTTAATGAAAATTGGCTACGTAACAGTAAAGTATATAATGTAAATATGACTGTAAATAAAACAGAGGTAATAATTATAATAATAATTATGTTATGACAATCATATTAAGTATTGGTAATGGTAATTTTATTTTTAAAATTTTGATTGATAATTGAAATAATAGTGCTCATTATATACACAGGCCATCTAATGTAATGAAACATCTCATATTTGTTCATCAAACAGCAGTATATCGTAGAATTATTGCCTTATTTAATTTAGAGATAACCCCTTTATTAATACTATTTTTAACAACAGCAATCTACTGTAATATTAATCCTTAATGTTTATTGAATGTAGTGTATTTATTATTTCGTAGTTATTAACATTTTATTCATCAATTGATATTTTATTTCATAAAAAAATGTCAGTGTTTTCTTGAAGATTTCCAATTTATTTCAACCTATATTAACATTTATCAGATTTTATTTTGTTTAATATTTCACTATTATGGTAGTATTGCCCTTAATGCAGTTCCAATTACCAGGTTTTAAATCCTTAACCTTAAAAGTTGTTTTTTTATATATATATTTTGGATAAAAATCTAAATAATTATGGTTATATTAAAGCAGTAGTAAAGTTTTATTGATTGTGGTTCTATAATATTTACCAAACCATACAACTGATTTTGTATAGTGATACATTTTCTTAAGTTTTACCTGGGAAAATTTGATATACAGGAGTGCAGGGTTGTTAAGTTAATAATTTCATAATTATTATTTGGAAAAAAATGACTGATTTCTTGACTTTTAATTTATAATTTTTGTTTGGATTTTGCCTATTAAATTGGTTTACAATTATCAATATCAATTAAGTTTAGCAACTGTTTTAGTTACTATGGATACATCATTTACATCAACCTTAAAAATAAATAGACATTCTAAGAAATAAATCTTGGCTTCCATGGAAATGTGTGGATTTCATTATGAGAATGCTGTTTGGTTGCTATGCAGAAACCCTGGATTTGATGGTTTTTCCGTGATTATTGAAAATAAAGTTCAAGAAGAAATTAATATGTGTGAAGCTGTGTTATTGAAAAGAATCATCCTGGTTGTGGTTTATTTTTGGTTCTGGGTCAACTGGGCACTTCTGGGTTGTGTTGTTTTTCCTTGGTGATTGGTTCAATGTATTGGTACTTATTGTTGGTTTATGGGTATATTTTGGTTTTTGTCTCAGAGAAGAACATATTTTGTGATTGTTACATTTCATGTCAGTCTCTAATAATGTTGTTATAGGGTGGTATGTTTAGAAATTTTATTATTTTTATTTTGTCTTTTGTCAGGATGTTTCTTACTGGTGTTGGGTATATTTAACTTGGATATTTGTTTAGTTGCTATTTTCATGGATTGGGTTTTTTCATACAAGCTGTATACCAATGATCCTACCTTGTTATTGGTAGTATTAAAATAGGGGTATTTTGTGGTTCATTAACTATTTACATGTCTGCAGGTTAAGTTGGCATAACTGCAATGTCTAAACAGGAGTCTACCATGAGCATGCAGTATTTCAACATTATTTTTATATTTTACTTATATTACATTATCATTTTTTTAAAAATATTTTCATCTTCATCATTAATATATTATTATGTTAGAAGCTGACAAATTCATGAAGAAGTTTTTTTATTAGACTTTGCTAATATTACATTATCATTATTTAATTATCTTCATCATTATTAATAAATTATTATGTTTTGTCCTATTAACATCATTATTTAAATATTGTTTTAATTATAGCTACAATCTCTACCGTATTACCATCATTATTATTGTGGTATACTATACATTTCAACTTAATTGGAACCTGTCAAGTATCATGAAATATTGTAGAACAAGTGACATCTATCCTAAATTTATAACATTTAATAATCCTACAATAACTACAGTGATATTATTATTAACATTTAATAATAAGTATTATGATCATTAACATCATAATATTGATTTTCATTATAATACAGTACTTCCTTCATGGCAGACATTAAGTTGCCCCCACCTATTTGGCTGCACTTGCAATAATAATTGCATTTTCAGATAGGGATTCTCATCAATTTAAATATTAATTATACTAATTAGCAGATTTGATATCAACATGATATAGCTTGATGCTCTTCTCGTCATTAACTCATCAGAAAATTCCTTTATGTTTCTTTAGACTATCTTGTACTCATTTATTCTATTTTCTTTCAGGTTTTCATTATCTTTTCCCCCTTTAGTTTCTGTCACTAATATTGTGAATTTATGTAAATTCAATTTACACTTAATTCTGTAGTTTTTTAAATATTTTACCTTTTCTTACTTTAAAATGAAGACTAACATGTTTTTTTTGTTGGTTTTTTTGTTTGTTTGTTTGTTTTGTTTTGGGGGATTGGTAAAGGAGAGTTTAAATTTATGTGTATTTCATAGCTTTTTTATATTATATTCATATAATCTTTTCATTGAGGTAACCACATATTATGTGTTTCTACACACATCTACACACATCTACCCATCTACAAACTAACGAAGGCTACTAATTTATATATAATGTATTTTCTGTATGTGTATTTTTAAATTAATCAAGAGTATATATATTTGACGGAAAACACATTTCATAGTGATATTCTTTCATTGTGTCTTACACTATTGTTCTAGGAGGTTACTGGGAGTTTATACTTCAAGACAGTTATACCAACACCAGAGTGGTGGGTTAGGGAAGGGGGTCAAGTGTAGAATTCTTTACAATATCATAATATAACTTCACTCTCACTTTCATCACCCTAACTCAAGAAAGACCAACCCTCTATACCCCAATCATAGACTTAGTCAAACTAATACTATATTTCCATACATAACTTCATTCCAGTTAATTAACAAAACTGAACACACTCCTAGTAGGACCTTTGCCCCTCTCACCTCTCTATACACACAAAATGAGTCTATAGCGTTATAACCTTGTGAACATTTTTCTCTTGCATGTATTGTCAAATTTAGATAATCCAAGATGCTAAGCAGGTAACAAGCGAAAGATGTTTGCTTTCTAACTTATGTTTCACCAAACACGATTGCATGACTATTTTGCTCTCTTCAATTGACACTTTTCTGCACCTATACTAACTCGTACACTTTCTGCATACAATTTTTGTGTAATACTTTTTTTGAACCATACTGTGACTGAACTTCCCTATAGGAATTTTATACAGTTTTGTATCTTATATATATTATATATATATATATATATATATATACTTGATTATTACAGTATAATATACATTAAGTCACACAATCCCTTTTCTCCATTTACATAGTCTGAATAATAATATAAAAAGGGTTTAACATTCTGACAAATTATAAAAGATTTAAAATTAAATTACAGTTTTTTCCTAGCGGTTCAGTTAAACATTCATCTTGTTCACCTTCTGGAAAACTTAACAGGACCTGACCAAACTACACTGCAGTACTATAAGATGATATTACAAATCCATAATGGTTGATGTTGATGATGATGATAATTGATTAAGATAGTGGTGGTGGTGATGATAAGGATAATGATGATGAGGGAGGTAAATCCAACAAAAGTAGAAACAGTTTGATCAAGTAAATATGAATATTACATTATCCGACAAAGTAACAAAACTTACATAGTCTCCAAAACAATTGTTGTTGTTTTTTTTCTGGGCCTGCAGCCCCTCCCCCCCACCATTTTATTTTTAAAAAATACATTGAGAAGACAATAATAGCAAATACTAAATTTAGTCTACCTATGCACACAAAACCGCTAAACTTTGACGACAGCCAATGTGTCTTCAGCCATGGGATACCCTCAAATATGGCATACCTTACTATTAGAAAATTTGCAGGAGTCTGTCTTCCAGAATAATCCAACTGCTAAATTCTTCCCCATCCTGAACTTGCTTGAAAGGTATTATAAGAGGACATCATTGAGTTTGTTTTCCAGAACATCAGAACCACCGAAATAACACAGGAAACCTACAATTCATAGTTATTATCTGACATTTAGTAATGCAGGATAGTAGCAAAAATAGCAATCTCTACTCTATTTTCTAAAGATTCATAGAGCCAATAATAAAACCTCCATCAAAATTCATACAGCTCAAACCATTTTCTTTAATGATATGTAAAAAAAGACAAACCTTTTCTCTTGCAAGGTTCGTCCTTTGTCCAATCTCTCCTCTTTCAAAGTCCATATAACTTCCAACCTCTCCCTCTTTCGAAATCCATACAGCTTCCAACCTCTCTTCTTTCAAGATCCACACAGCTTCCAACTTCTTCACTTTCAAGGTTCATACAACTTCCAACCTCTCCTCTTCAAGATCCATACAACTTCCAACCTCTCTACTATCAAGATCATACAACTTATAACCTCTTCTTTCAGGATCCTTATGACTTACAATCTCTCTTCAGATCCTTACAACCTCTCCTTTTTGATCGTACAACTCACAACCTTTCCTCTTTTTTTCAAGATTCATACAACCTACTGTATACAACCCATCTTTCAGTAACCGTTACATGTACAACTCACAACTCACAATATTTTCTTTCATGAAGCTAGGTCTATACAACCTAAAACCTCTCCCCTTTCAATATCCATCCTCTTCTTTTCCAATATTCCTACAACTTTAATATACAGTCTCCTTTTAATACAGTAATTATATTATACAACTTACAACCCCACTTCAAAATTTATACAATTCATGACTTCTCATTCAATACCCATAAATTTGACCAAGCCTTCCTCTTTCAAGGTCAATATAACACAACCTCTCATTTTTCAGGATCCATATAACCCTCAACCTCTTTTTTCTTGAGAGTGTTTTATATCACCACCCTTTATCTATACAACTTACAATCTCTTCTCTTTTCAGATTCATACAACTTACAACATCTCCTCTTTCAGGATCCAAATATCAACTGCTTTTGTTTTTTTAGAGAGCCTTAAATCACCTCCATTTATTTAAGATCTGCATTAAGTTGCAACCCCTTTTTTTAAACATCAATTCAATTATATTTTACTTAAATGAAAAATATATGATTTAATATTAGGGCTAATTAGTATTATTATTACAATTATTATTATCGATACAGTATTGTTACAATTGCAGAAGTTTACCGACAAGGGTCCTATCAAATTGTTTGACTTAGTACTGCCAGTCAGGGTCCAGGACTAAAAACACTGGTGGGGGGCAAGTGGCTCAAGCCCCCACTATTTGCTTTAAAATTGTTTAGAATGGAGGTCAAAAAGAAACCCATAAAATTGTGTACCTCACCCCAACCATGGTAGAGCTCATTTGCTCTACACTCTCCATTTGTAAATGTTTCTCCTTGCGGCTCCCTCAATTTCAAATTTCTGAATCCTCCACTTTTTTAGTTCACCTTCTTCAAGTGCCATCCAATGATGCTTGTCGAATGGGTGTGGGTAATTTCCCTGACACCCTCTTGTGCCGCGCATATACCCATGCACATACCCACAAGTACACCATCCACCTGCCACCCGAATAGACAGTATTCATATACATATGATGCACACACACACACATGTAATTGTTTAGAGTAAAGCTGCTTGTAGTGGTAGGTTTGCCCCTTTGATACCCGTTTCTAATGTGATTATAGCTTGAGATATAACCCTCAAATTCAGCACATTTTACAACTGACAATTTATATTGAATGCCATCCACAATTACTCGTTTTCCCCATTTTTGCATGATTTTTTATATATTTTAATCTTGTGTTTTTTCAAGAATTTCAAGAAGGTAATGTGCCTTGGCATGTCTATCATAGATATTGGTTATATTTAAGCACCAGTTTCACCACTCAATGTCACAGGATTTAGAAGCAATTTTCACTTCTTAATGCAGAAATCATGATATTGTGTATAAGAGACAGATAAAAGATTTAAAATTAAATTACAGTTTTGTAATTTCCCTGACACCCTCTTGTGCCGCGCATATACCCATGCACATACCCACAAGTACACCATCCACCTGCCACCCGAATAGACAGTATTCATATACATATGATGCACACACACACACATGTAATTGTTTAGAGTAAAGCTGCTTGTAGTGGTAGGTTTGCCCCTTTGATACCCGTTTCTAATGTGATTATAGCTTGAGATATAACCCTCAAATTCAGCACATTTTACAACTGACAATTTATATTGAATGCCATCCACAATTACTCGTTTTCCCCATTTTTGCATGATTTTTTATATATTTTAATCTTGTGTTTTTTCAAGAATCTCAAGAAGGTATTATGCCTTGGCATGTCTATCATAGATATTGGTTATATTTAAGCACCAGTTTCACCACTCAATGTCACAGGATTTAGAAGCAATTTTCACTTCTTAATGCAGAAATCATGATATTTCACTTACTAAAAGCGTTGATCAAACCTGCACTTGAAACTTATAACTGCTTAAAAGTTCATTTTAAAGCTTATCAACAACTGTTAATTGTTTGATCAAATTACTGAATATCACAACAAAATATTCTCTGCTTATAAAAAAAGATCATTGAAATGGATATTTTGGTTGTTTTTTTTTAAACATGTTATTTTTTTCTGATGTAAAAAGTATAGTTTTTTTTTGTTTTTAGTTTTTGTTTTTTGGGGTTTTTTTGGGTAAATATAACAAACCTTAGAACAAAGTGATTTTATTGATTAAAAAGTTCATACTGAAATGAAAGTAAATATAATATGTAATACTTGAAGGGTTATCCTCATAGGATTACGTATGCATCAGCTATTACACCCTAAATATGATAAAAGGTTCAAGTTGAATTATATTCCACCAATATTTATTCAAACTATAACACAACTTGTTTATATTATCTATATTGTACATTAACTATATACCTATAAACAATTTTTTAATGTAAAATTCATGTAGACAGCATTGTAAACATGAGAATAAAGATTATCTTATCTTTTATGGTAACACAACTATGTATACCTGTATTATACATTACCTGTATACCTATAAAAATGAAACATGTTTATGGCATTGCTAATGTGACAAAAATCTCATATTTTATATATATATATATATATGTATATGCATAGTATATTTTCATTGCATATTTTCCCTTTTTTTCTGAAGAGGTTTGTGCACATGTAATTTTTCTATGAAATGTAATGATGCAGTATATCTTATTCAAATGAAATATAAATATTCATATACTTTTATATTTTCTTAGCATCAAGACAATTTTTAGAATATATATCTGGATGCTTTATCATTTTTAGATGATGAAATGCTTATAATAGAAGTGTTTATAGAAGGATATAAAAGTAATTCGCAAAATATGTTCCTTTTACCCCAGTTTGGTACAAGTGATACAATAAATTTAACCTCCTCTAGTACATTTAGTAGTAATTTTCTATCTATTAGAAGATACTTATTGATATTTGAAAAAAAACTAAGGATTTGAATTTTATGATGGAAATTGATAAAAGAATATCTGTGAAGATTTTACTTTGTTAATTTTATATCATCACATTTCAATGTAAAAGGTAAGTATTGTAATTTTTTATTATAAAAGCTAGTTTTATTTGAATTTTGTTGTATGTACTCCAATATACAATTGTATTCTTTTATTTGATTTACTTTATAGCAAACGAAGATGTTCAGTGCCATCGCTAGTGTTGTTAAGAAAGAAAAAACAACGCAACCGATGGACGCAGATCATATTCAAGACAAGGAGTTAGAAATGCAGATAAAAAATGCTGCGCCTGTACATGCCCTACTTAACATACAGGTGGATGGAGCTCCAAGAATGAGAGCTCCATCACCTTTGCCAATCAGGTACAGTATCATAATTTATAATGATGATGTATATAATAAATGTGGAGAAACATGACAATTTTGCCATTAGGAAAATTAAGATGATTTAGCCTTATTCTTGAGGCGATACATCTTAAGAATTGAAAAGGCTTGAAGCAGATCTTTATTTTTTTCAATAATAATAATAATAATAATAATAATAATAATAATAAATGATTATAATAATAATAATAATGATAATACAGGTAAAGGTAAAGGTAGGAAAATAACCCATAACTTGCAGCATCATTGTGCTGAATTGTGTATCAGCGCGGTCCGTGGCTACCTAGCAGCCGTAAAGAGGCGCTTCATGGTAGCTACATGTTTACATCATTCCACAACAACAGGGGCTGAAATGAACCATAACATCGGGGTAACCTCCTACTCTTCCGAAAGATGCAATAGGTTCTTTAAAGTGCACACAAGCCAGATGTATACACTGAACCTCCAAAGTCATCCGAAAAGGCTTGGTTCTACCAACCAAACCCTGGGCAGAGAGCAGCTGGAACCATCACCGATGTTAATGCTGTAGTTAGCAGCGCTAATGATAATAATATTCGGCATAATAAAGGTCAGCCTACTACGAGTAGGCAAAAATCTCACGGAAACTAACCTGTCTGTATATTATAATTTGTCTGATTTCAGCTAGTTTTGGGTATTGCTATGCGCAGCAAAATAAGATTATATGTGATCAAAAAAAGACCCCTTGTTGATTGCTTGATTGAGGTGTTTCACCATACCAGTTTGTATCATGTGCGATTTTTGAACTCACTTAATAACCTTTAGTTAAAATATCAGTAATAATTATAATTAATGCTGGTAAACAATGATAATAGTAAGATTTAAAAGTAATACTTAATATTATTGTGTATCTAATTTAGTATATTAACATTATTGCAGTGTTTTTCATGAACAATTCTTAATGATTGGTCAATAGCACAACTTTTTTTTTATTCCGTATTATAGACAGACAGACTCTAATGTATTTACTGTAGGTTAATTCATTTTTACATTGGTAGAGTATAGTTTGTATCTTTACACACAGTAATATTCTGAATCAGCTTCTGTAAACATAATTGTTGTTGTTTAGACAAAGTAACAATACGAGTAATGGAATCAATAGAAGAGGAGGCAAAGACTCACCCAGTGGGTCAAGGGTGAGTTGATCTTGATGTTTTCATGTCTGGAGTATTGATGTTGTTGTATATTATTAAAAATGCTGTGTAATGCTTGTATACTAATGGCAAACATTGTACCCTGTAATTACTGCAGTGTAACAATGAGCTCAGATGCCATTCTGAATTATGCATTGTATATTGTATATAGTTTGTCTATTAATTTATTAAAAATTACTAAAACCTATTTTTAACAATGCAAAATAATATGACAAAGTTTGAAATTTTAATAAAATGCAGAAGAATCTACATCATCATCATCATCATCGTTACCTTCCTATTTAATATATTTTTTTTTTTGCCTAAAGTATTTTATCATTGCATCTCAATTAACATTATTATTATATACTGGTATTTTGTCATTATCTTATTTAAATCACCACTTAAATAACAAGGTATTATGAACACCATAACAAATATCTTCATCATCATAATATCATCATGAACATCATCAGTATCCCCACCTTGATCATCATCAGAATCTCAAAAATTTTGGGTCAGGGATATTTTCATGGAGAGGAAAATGTTTCCCAATAAGGAGCCCAAAATATATAAATTTTGTTTCTAGATTTTGATTAATAAATTTGATAACTATGAATTGTTGCCCTCTGTGTTACCATTTTATTAATCAAAATGCATAGGATGAGTGATGATTAACAATGTACCATAAGATTAGGCCTACTGTAGGCCTATAAAAAAAGATGTAAAAATAGAAAACAACTGACCAATTTACCCTGATATCCAAATTTGATTTTGTTTCATCATCATCATAATCACCACCATCATCATTATCAGCGTCATCTTCATGGGCACATCAGCGTTTTAACCATTGGCAACAACATCGTCTTATACCCGATTCACACGTGAAGTTAAATTTAACAAAAAGTAACAAATTGTAACCGAGCGATCTCCCGAGTTATTCTTACCGAGATAAAAAGCATTCACACGCGTCTGTAAGGTAATGCCAAGGTTGTGTAAAATTTTTTTTTTTTGCCTAAAGTATTTTATCATTGCATCTCAATTAACATTATTATTATATACTGGTATTTTGTCATTATCTTATTTAAATCACCACTTAAATAACAAGGTATTATGAACACCATAACAAATATCTTCATCATCATAATATCATCATGAACATCATCAGTATCCCCACCTTGATCATCATCAGAATCTCAAAAATTTTGGGTCAGGGATATTTTCATGGAGAGGAAAATGTTTCCCAATAAGGAGCCCAAAATATATAAATTTTGTTTCTAGATTTTGATTAATAAATTTGATAACTATGAATTGTTGCCCTCTGTGTTACCATTTTATTAATCAAAATGCATAGCATGAGTGATGATTAACAATGTACCATAAGATTAGGCCTACTGTAGGCCTATAAAAAAGATGTAAAAATAGAAAACAACTGACCAATTTACCCTGATATCCAAATTTGATGTTGTTTCATCATCATCATAATCACCACCATCATCATTATCAGCGTCATCTTCATGGGCACATCAGCATTATAACCATTGGTAACAACATCATCATCGTTACTTTCATAATAAAAATCAAAAATCATTTATATATTTAAACATTAATAATTTGGAATATTGTATGCTTACTGTATATTTTATTGCTTTGCACTTTGTGTGCTATGATTGAAATGCCTGTACTTATGCCTGTGCTATATGTACTTATTGTCTGGTTTCACTTGTGTTTTCCTTGTCGTGTGCTTTAAATGTGTGGATGGCAGGATGGACTAGTCGAGGGTATTGTATTGGAAAGTTCATTTGATGAAGATTTTAACGATTATGATCATGCCTGTAACTTTGAAGTTTATGATAATGAGGTGATATACTCAATAATATGCTTGCTAATTAGTGCATGAATTTTGCAGCCTATATCGCTATATCTATGCTCTTATGGTATTCCTAGAACTTTTAGAACATTGGTTTGGTCTGCATGTGGTTAATAAAACTTTTACTATAAAAGCTCTGATATATGAAAAATATATTGCATTGATTAATTATATATTGAACATTCTTTATGATTACAGTCATGTCATTAAATTACTATAAATCAATTGAATATTTCCTCTAAAGTAAAAAAAATATGAATAACTGTTTTATAAATTACCTTTATACAGTATATGTATTGTCATTTATACCACTACCAATTTATATTTTTGTATTGTATTTTTGTATCCTTATTTAATGAATACGCATGAAAATTTGGTAGATAAATAAATAAGTAAATATTATTGATTAGTTTCTAAAAGCTCAAATTAAAATTTCTTGTTCATTTATATTAAAAATTACTGCACTGATTTATTTTCACTAAAAATGTTCAATTTAAAAAAAAATAGTGAGCAATATATTAATACATAACGTATAATACAATTCAATGTTTAGATAGATTTTAATCATACATATTCTATACAGTATAGTGTTAATATAGGGGTAGTAGTAGTCTCTTCTAAAATTTCCTTGTAGATATATTTTTGCTATATTATTGATTTTCTTATATACTTGGAGTATACGTGTAAAAAAAATATATGTAAGATTTGAAACAAATGTTAGTGTAGACTTATGTTTCTGAAAGTTACTAATAAAAGAGAAAAAAAAAGTCTAAACAACATTTCAACATGTTCACCAATTAATAATCAATTTCTTTTCATTAATTTTCTACAGGGCTTTGAGATGGTAGATATGAAGTATAGAGAAAATCCAAATGATGTAAAAAAATCTTCATCAGTAGATCGCAGAGTAAGTTTTTACATCACCGTGAAACACTTTTACCACACTCATTCGCAGTACATAATACAGCATATATTCCTATTGTAACATTCAGAATATCTTCACATCACACTAATGTATCTTTACCTTTGCAACATTCATCAAATTCTTATAGAATGATTATTATAAATGTGTGCAGAAATATTTTGTGTTTAATTTGTTTGGTGGTTCTGGTTTGTGAATAACAGTATTATTACTTTCTCTCAAACAAACATAGAGACATATGAATGGTGCATCTAATTAACATTAAAATACATTATATTATCATATATAGAAATTTATTAGCATCCAACCATATTAATAGCTAATTCATTTTTAATATCCATAAGATTGCATCATTACCTACAGATGTATATGTTGTGATGATCCCTCAACATGGCCAAATTGTTTACCAAAAACCTATTTATTACACTTGTGTATAACACCTGTGTATTACACCTGGGTATCATAAATGTATATCATACCTGTGTATTACACTTGTGCATTACACCTGTGTATCACAATTGTGCATTACACCTGAGTATTGCACCTGTGTATTACACATGTGTATCACACTTGCTTATTATACATGTGTATTACACCTGTGTATTGTAGCAGTGAATTACACCTGTGTATCACACCTGTATAATATGCAATTGTGTTAGTAGAAGCTGTGGCCAAGTAGAAGGCATATTTCATTACATTGCTTGTTAACAATTACATGAAATTACATCTTCATGTCTAACCCATCAGCCTGTTTCATTTTTTCAATGATGTTTTATTTTACTTTTAACAAAATTCACTGCACCTCATTTACCCATAATGCATACAAGGTTTTCAAATGTGTTTGAATGCACCTTGATACATATTGTATGACAGGAATTGTTGAATCTCTGAAGCACTCTGGGATATCTTTCACAAATAGATAAATATTAACTGTGCTCTAATAAGAAATAGAGCATATACCATATTTATCCCAGACTGGTACAGAGATAGGGTTCTTTATTTTGCACATTGATTAACCCTGGATTTTTGCATGATGATTAAAATCACAATGCTTAATCCCATCACTTGATTATTCTTCATTTTCATGCACACAGTTACATAAACCACAATGAGTTTGCAGACTAAAGCTTCGTCATTCCTTTCATGATTTCCATGTTCATTTTAACATGTGTGAATTTCATTAGAAAATTTTGAAACCTGACGGAGTTTAACATCTCAAGCTTATCATTTATGCTCGACCTTTCTGACCTTTCATATTTTTTTTTTCAACTTTTATTTAAAAGCAAACGTGGGACAAGCATGCAGACTTTTACGCTTCCAACCACTCTCCTTCTAGAACTAGGTCTTCACAGGTTATGGCAGAAATAGATTACCACCCATTAGATAGGGATAAAGGTTTTGAACGTGCACCGCATGATCCTACCAGGGTGTACGGAGTAGGCAAGGGAAGGGGACGGTATGGATCTTACGACCAACTCGGTGGCCATGAAATGGATTACCCAGACGTAGGAAATCGAAAAGATTATACAAATTATCCAGATAGAAAACCTGTTGTTCGAAACAACCTTAGTGACCCCTATATGCGCCCATTTAGCGACACTTTTACACCAACTAATAGATCACGAAGAAACTCCCTTAATGATGAGGCTAGAAATGAGCGTAGTTTTTATGACGTAAGAGATCCACTTGATAAACAACAGTCAAGTGATAGAAATAACCTGGGAAGGGATTTTAGAAGCTGTAGATCAAATGATGACGATAAGCTGCTTCAAACAGCAAGCATGAGTATACCTCATCGTAGCTATTATGACAGTGGTAGATCACCACAAGATAGTTACCAATCCTCCCCTCGAGAACACCGGACCTCCAATATCCCTGGGCTTAAGAGTGAAAATAGAAAAGATAGCTGGCCATATTCAAATGAACGGTCTTACGATAATAGGCTGATAGAGCCAAAATCTGACACAAGACCAAGTGGTAAAAATACTAAGCAGCTTGGTCTCGGAATCGATATGCAAGAATCTCGACAACGGCACTCCTTCTCCAATCCACCAAACAGTGGACTGGATTCTAACTTGAATTTCCCACGTAATGAGTACCGGGAACGAAATGCAAGTCCAAGCAGTAGCCAATTTGGTTTTGACACAAAATCAAAATCTCACACTAGTCTTCCAAGGGATGGTGAGCAACCCATTTGTACCAGCAATCCCTTCATAACAGAACCACAAAATAGATTTTGGGAAGGTCGCAGTCCAAGTAACAGTATGTTAAATAACAGACAAAATCGTTCAACAACAAATCAAAATAATTTAGACAATAGCAGGCTTATAGACCATCAAAATAATAATAACCAAAGAAGGGACCTGGCCCTGTCGTATGATAGGTCATATAATAACAACATAGAAAGGGTAACAGATAGGAATGGCATTGACCCGAGAGCGTCGAGGGACAGTCGTAAGCCTCTGGATCCGACTTATCAGAAGCGAGACAATTCAGAGACTAGATTGGAGGACTCGTTCCACCGCAAAAGCAGATTTGGTTCAACGAACTTGACACGTGAAGAGGTGATTGTTGTTGTTCTTTGATTGTATTTCCTATTCAATGTATACTACAGAAGTAATATAAAAAAATCCGTAGATGTTACACCTCTCCCTTGTATCACATTGATGATATGATTAAGTTGTTCTTTACGTGTTTCCTTGTATTTTAACATCCAATTCTGTTTCATCCACTCTTGGTAGATTTTAGTGATAGCCAACTTAGTAAGTCTCAAAGCAAGAGTTCCTTTAGGATGTAGAGCTAAGTAATAGTTAGGTCCATTTGTCCAGTTGGGTACATCTAGGTGTATACATGATTTTGCATGCCTTATTGTTGTCACATTTGTTTTCAATGCATGAAATTTTTATAATGTATTTGAGTTTGAAATGATTTGATTTCAACAACAAAAAAAAAGTTATAAAATTTCAAAACAGGCACATTTGCATGGCCAGCCTATTTTTTTTTTTTTTTTTTTATCTCTCGGTTTATTATTTGTTTAAAATTGTATTATGGTACCCCTTCACTGAAATGGCAAGACCCCATCGGAGCTCATGAGCTCATGATCAATTTCTTTCAAATTCAGGTTTCATACACTTTTTGTTTTGTTTTTTTCACAAATCATTTTTCTCAATTGAGTCCCCTCATCTCTGATACTGAGAAACAATGAGAAATGATGCATTGGAAACTGTTTTTATTGATTAGTACCCATTAAAAAATCACAGTAGGTGATTCCAAATTTAAGCATGGAAAGATGTTATGTAATATTTTATAGCCTTTATCTCTTAAGTAATATTTACATAATTTTAACGTTCAACAATAAATCCAGTTGTTTACAAGATAATTTAGTAGTTATTTTGATTACTAATTACCCCCTGTAAATTGTATAGTAGTTTGATTTTGATCCTTCTTAATATCAAGCCACCATAAATCAGGAATCGATGTAGTTTAATTGCTTGTTTTATATGCATGAATTGTGTGCCCTTCTTTGCATTTTATTTTCTAATTTACCATGTTCATTTATGAAGGCTGCAATGAGACAAGAGAGGCTTACTTACGGGGATGGTATGTCCCCATCACAGTCTCATGTGTCTACATCAGGTAAAGAGAAATCTCCTTTTAAACATTTTGTAATCAGCTTTTATGTTACACCGGCCCTGATTGGTCCAGGTGCTGACCAATGGGTATCTTCTGTTTTGCTGTCACTAACAATTCTTATGTTGTGCTGAGTTCTGTTTACTAATCTGCTATTTCTATTTTGCTAACTGATATTGCTTAGCAACCACTACACAGCAATATTGTCATTGGATCATATCAGTCACATGTTCATTGCACACTATAATGTCATCCCATGTTCACTCTATTTGTATATAATGATAATGATTATTATAGTAGTAGAAGCCTATAATTATGTATCATTTTCTGTAGAAATAGATATGCTCTTGTCTGAAATTATGGATCCAAACTTTTTCTATATATTTACTATACTTAAAAGTCTGCTGCTCATCTGTTAGAGAATTTCCCTGAAAATATTTTCCTTTTAGCTTCCACAGCTCTGCAAGAATTACCATATTTCATTCTTTTATATGAATTATTTTTGAAAAGAATTTGTTGTCAAAATGAGTTGGAAATTCAATAGATATGGCAATATCAACTATTTTCATTTCTCTACCTATCACAATTAATGAACCATGTGTTGAAGTAATCATTAATTTGACATTGATTACACAAACATAATTAAATTATTAAAATTCAATAGTGTCATTGGATTTCTAAATCAGAATGATTCAAATACTTTTTACCTTTTTTTTACTTATGTTCAGTCTGCAAACAATGTTGAATGGTTGCTTACAAGAACTAAAATCAATTTCACAATTTGAACTTTCTTAATCCTCTCCCTCAATCTATGAAATTTCTTCATTCAATCTTATAAAATTTGTCATCAAAAGAAGCATGAATGGAGCTTTCACAAATGATCTGGCGCCCTCTATAGCTTAGCTTACATTTACATAAGTTGGTGATAATATTGTTTTCACTTTAGAAAATACAATATAGAAATTTATGGAATTATACTTTTTCATATATGCCTGTGGAGATGTTCATCTTTGATTCCTCGAGGATCTGTTAGCTGCATTTCCATAGAGGTTCACCTATATTCAGTATCCATTCATGCAATTTTTCATATCTAGTAGAACAAATACTTCTATTCTTTGGAATGCTGTAGAAAGCTGTAGATAGAAATTTCTGTTAAGATTAGAAAATATTAGTATTGTAATACCAAAATGTATTTGGTTCCAATATTTTATAAAGGCATATCTTATATTTTTGCTTATTCTATCATATTTGTTTCTAATGTACAGTGATTTATGTTTGATATTATTATTATTTTTTTTTTTTTGCACATTGTGTTCCCTCATATCATATCAATTAAAAATTGTACTTGTTTTTTTTTTTTTTTTTTTTTTTTTTTTTTTTTTTTTTTTTTTTTTTTTTTTTTGGAATTTAATTATAAACAATCTACTCTTTTATTTTCAAATTTATTTTCCTATCTTAATGTATTGACATCTCACTAATTTTTTATCTGTGTTTTTGTGTGTTATAAGACTCTTCCACACTGTCTAATTTGAGTGACTTGCCCATATGGGAGTGATGGTGTCATATCACACTCATATGGGAAGATCACAGGATTGTGTGAACAGGCCTTATGTTTTTTGCTTTATTTATTAGATTACTGTAAAATTTATGAAATCACAACATTTTTTTTTTCATTAAAAAAAATCCTTCCATTATGTGTTTTTTTATATCATTTATTTTCTTTTGTATCTCTTATTTGTAAAATGTACCTCTTAACTTATTTCTTATTTCTTTATGTTCCTGTATTCTCTATTCCATTTCTCTATGTTTACTTTCTTAATTTCTCTGGACTGCCCAGCTGAAAGAAGAAGATGAGACGTGTTTTTATGAGGATGAATATAATGATGATAATTATTACTATTACGATGCATACGATGCGTTTTTCAACCAGCCTCCACCATGTTATCCTTAATCCATCGTTTTGGTATCACTGCTTGTCTCATTTTTTTTTCTCTCCATCACAATCTTTGAATTTTTTCACAATCTTTGAAGTGTTTTCACAATTAATATGTAATAATTAAATAATCATTGTTGTTTTAAAAGTTTTATTACTAATGCTGATTGAACTGTAATAATTAATACAATAAATAATGAATTATATAGTAAACTGTAATAGTACTGTAGCAATTAAGCCGATAATGAAAATACAGTTTGCCCTTCAATTCGAGACCACTTCTGGGACCTGAAAATTTGGGGTGGTCTCAGGGCTCGATCTCCAAATAGAGCTTAGTCTGAATAGATTGAAGATTGTTAATTGGTTCTTTGAAAAGCTCATCTCGAATTAAAGGAGTCTCAGAATTAGAGGGGTCTTGATTGGGAGGGTGTATTGTACTTATAGGCCTATTTGTTAAAAACAAAAACAAAATTAATTGATATGACAATACTATAACCAATCAATATTAATGTGGATTGTAAAACAGCACTTAAGCTTATAATGTAATTTATTCATTAATTTAAAAACAATAAATAGAAAAAAAAAAGAATGATCATAATCATAATTTTGAGAGAAAATTATTATAGTACTGTAACAATAAAAATTATGATAGTTATATATAGTTTTTAGAACAACAATGATAATAAAAAAATATACTGTTGACGACAACGATGATAGTACAAAAAAAAAAATTTAATAAAAGCTAAACTAAAATATATAACCACTACTTTAAATTAGTACAGTATGCAATTGAAAAGTTAATTTAGATATTAGATGACTAATGTGTTTGTGTTTCGTGTCTGTGTCTGTTCCTTATTTTATTCTTCTTTTTGACATCTATATACTTAATTATTTAAATAAAATAAAAACCAACATAACCTAAAAAGTATATAATGATATACAAATTGTATTGTTAATGATAAATTTTGTTATTAATTTAGAAGACTAATCAAGTTTGTATTGAAGTAGCGTGTTTTACATTTGTGTTAATATTCTTTGTTTTTATTCATTTTTTTAAAAGTTTTGACAATTATATATACTGTACCTATCACGATCTATAGCTCTGGTTCTTAACTGTTTTCATACCTGCGGATATGAGCAAGTTTTCAGATAATTGTACCTCTAGATCCCCGTTACGCAACCTTCATAGCCTACGACCCAAATATTTAACACTCAGCCGCAACCCATCAACCTCAGATAAATATGATTATTTATGCGGTGAGGTTTGCCTGCTTTTAGTCACTACCTTGAGTTCATTGCTTCCTTACTTTATTTAATTTTGTCTTAATTTAAAGAAAGATGTCATTTAATAGTAAAAATTATGAAAGTACCTAGTTATACCTTGTTGTTTTGCTTTGATATTCTGGATTCGAAGACGTATATTTACATTTTGACCACATGCAAGATATGTCGGTATTCAAACTTGAATCACACACTTTATTCTTTTTTTTCTGTAGTTTTTATACATGTGTTTAAAAACACATTTACACAGAAAAATTACATTAACACACCAAGTGTTGTTTAAAACTTTATTTGAAAAGGAATATAAATGCAATATTTATTGGAAGATAAAGCGATTCTACTCACAATGTTATTTTCAAGGAGTTTTTTTAACACCAAAGAAAGTAATTCTGTACCATCTTTAGATTCAAAATAACTTTTTTAGGGAATTAAAATTTGAAAATAAGTGTCATTGTACAATGATTTACGATGATTTACTTCTCGACAGTGCATCAATCCAGCTTTTGAGCGGCGATAATACAATCCTCAAGGTGGCACAGAACAGGATCACTGTTTACATTCTGTTCCGATACTTGAACATGAGATATGAATAATATATTCTCACATATAAGACGATCCGCATATAAGACAACCCCTGAGTTTGAGAAGGCTTTTGGACAATTTTTGTATGTCAAGCGTATTTTTTTAGTAAATTTGTTTGTTTACGGACAATCCCCACAAAAGATAAAGACGAACATGATTTTGAAATTTCAAAAATGTGTATGTTGCGCATATAAGACGACCCCAGTAATTGTTATTTTGCTATAATATTAAGCTTTGTCTTCTACGTAAAAATATAGAACAATTGAAATCCATCCTCACACATCACGTTGTTGTCGAGAACGGCATTAGAAACATTATCGCAACCTGACTGATGTCTTGATACTTTTTTTTTTACTTTTATCCAAAAACTTTACCAATGGCTCCTGTTTAATTTAATCAGAACAGCTATGTATTTGCACGGTAAATATCAAGCTAACTCACATACATCAGTGTTCAGTTGTTGACATTCTTTTTTTTCTTTTGCGACCCAAACATTGGGTGGCGACCCATAGGTTGCGGAACGGAGCTCTAGATGACTGGAAGTGTCTCACACATATAAAAATTTCTTTTGATGTGTCTTAATTTGACATTTAATTGTTCAAATTAATTATACTTTCACTCATACATCCCCGAACATAGAAGTAAAAAGTGTTCATTTAAATTGCCATATATAGTTTTGTTTAAAACTTGTGAATTTTCAATGTTTTTTAATATCAGACTTTTGAAACTCATCTATTTTTCATTAATAACCGATAGAGTATAATTAACTAAAATTATTTATTATTTTTTTATTTATAATCATTAAAATGGCCTGTAATGTTCTTAAAATGTGAATCCATGAAATATTGCTATAATCTATAACTACATAAAATTTCCACCAGCCTAAGCTTCAAAAGAGCAAGGGGTGCACTTATTAGGCATACAGTTTATCACCAGCTATGAGGACTTTGTAAAGTAAAATGTCTTAGCCAATTTCTGGTCAGACTTCATTGATTTGTTGTACAACAGTTTGTTCAACAACAATTTGTTCATTTTTTTTTTTAATTCTGAAACCTGCGTAGCTGTCAGCTTTTGGGCCACACTCTTGGGGTTGAGAACCAGGGATCTACAGTGACGATGGTTACAGTTATAGCTTGATTTTTAGTTTTATTTTTGTATGTAATTTATATTTTGGTTTGCTCATTTAACAATTATGTTTCTACTCTGTGCATAGAAAATCTTTAATAGTAGCTTATCGCAACACTGCAACATAGTTTAAAGTTTTGTGCTGTTTAGAGACACTATTGTAGGATTCTTTAGAAAGTCTTTGCTAGCATTTTACCAAATTGGGGCTCATAATTGGTCCTGAAAAACATGTGAATAATGCGCTTGAATGCTTTAAAATCCTATGTATGTTTGTGTGTGTACCTGCTAACTATTACCTTGTGCATGCATGAATCATGCGATCATCATGTAACTAGCATATGTGATCAAGTCTGCAACATGTGATCATCTTGCACTTAGCATGTGATCATATGTTTTAATAGCTTGATCATCATGTGTAATAACATGTGATCACCATGTGCATGGTCATCATGTGTATAACAGATGGTGAACATGTATTGTGCATGTGATCAACATGAATCTTCAACAAAAAAAATAAGATTCTGTTTTATGACTTTCATAGAGGCATGATAATGGACTTTTCTGACACAGTTAGCAGACAAGATCATAAACTATTAATAAAAAAAAAAATACAAAATATGAAGCAGTCAATAATATATTTGGTAAAAATATTAAATATTTCATTGTTAAAATATCTTTTATATTGCCATTTCCAACTTCATAACAAAGCTGTAAGCAAATTAACTGCATAAAAATTGTAATCTGGAAATTTGCATGAGAGTTTGAATGAAGATTTAAACTGCTTAAGAATGCTGTGATTGGTGAAATTTATTTTTCATTAAAACCAAATATACTATCTAAAATATATTAATTTATTGTATCCAAGTAGGTTTTAGATGTGACTTAACCGTGTCAGAATTACATAATTTGGAATTCAATATTGAAAAGTAGATTGAAAGGATACTGTGTGGCTTTGTAAATTAGTATTACCAAGACTGCGGTGTTTATAATAATAATAATTCTATAGTGTATACGCTTATATTTTTTCTGCAGTGTTTTAATTCACACCTTGTGTTCACTTACTTAGATTAATTTATTTTTGTGATCATGTAGACCGATCAGCTTCCCTTGGGCGAGTCAAAAGTCAGCTCATAGCAGATCGTGTTTTGAGTCAAGAACAATATCTGCCAACTTCACCAGAACTATCCAGTTCACGTGGACGTCAAGATTTTTCTAATGACCCCAAGAAAGACTATTTTAGCCATGAAAAAAGAGCACCTTATGATAATAGAGCTGATAGTTCTTATGATGAAAAGGGTGCAAAAGGCAGACGAAGTTGTAGCCAGGATCGCCTGGCCAGCAGTGGTATGGAAGGAGCAGCACAACGTACTGGCACAGGTCGGAAGCTCCCTCAAGTACCTCAACATGTAAATAACAGTGGGTATATGTACCATTCCAGTGAGATGCTAAAACCTCAATCAAACCCATACCATGCATCAACTAAAACACTTGATTCTGTACCGATTAATCCCGACCGGAGACCTTACGGTGTAGCAGATGCGGGAATATCACCACATCTTTGTATCAGAGACGACACAGACCCTCTACTGCCTAATGGTCATAGACCAGGTGTTTCATCTAGGGGACGTGGCCATGGAATGCAGACGCAAAGTCCGCACAAAACACCGCAAGGTGTATCAAGGGGTCATGGTAGGATACACACAACAAATGAAACCGTACATATAACTGGATACTCAGACGACGAGGAGGAGTGGACATAGTCAGGAAGCCCAATGAACCTGCACGCCATTTTCAATATTGTAAATCCAATTACTAGTCTTTAAAGTTGTATAAAAATGTTAATTGCATTTATTGATGCATTTATTGTAAAAACAAAATGTATGGTTATACAATCTATTAATGAATATATATGTTTATGAATAGTCACTCCTATTGTACATGTTTTTGGGTCCGGAATGCTAGGTGATCCTAGATGTTACCATAGCAATGCTATTATGTATTGCCATTATGTGCATTGTTCATTCCAATGTTTTTTATATATATTCATTCACAAAAATACTATAAAGATCCATTTAAAATAAAATATTTAAAAAATCTACAGTTTTGATGTCGCTGAAGTGAGCAAGTATTTAGTATAAGTAAAATATTTCATAAGCAAGGTTATTATTGCTAATGATTCTCAGTTTAAAACAACTGTACTTTTTTTAAATAGATAAATAGCAATGCAATTGTAGAACCTAGTTACTAGATTCTTGTTCCCAGATTTTTTTTTGTTTTAAAATAGTGTAGCATTACTGTAGCCTACAATTAAGGATTGTATTTTGTATTTAACATACAGGTATTCAATAAGAATGCAATTAGTGGTTTAAAACAAATATTACGGCCGGCATTAGAAAAGTGTCTCTGATGGACCATTTTTCTAATTTAATATTCAATACAGACAATTTACTGGAAGAGCCTACGCGCTTAGTATTTTTGTCAAATTTTTGTGGAATATAACTTGCCACTGTTATATACAGGCCAACAGTGCTCATGGACATGTGCAATGCAGATATTACTAATATAAATGGCCAATATACAGTGCCTAGTTTCACTTTATTCATGTAATCTATTTAATTAATTTATTAAATATTCATATATTAATATATTATATAAAATTATAGACATTTTATTAATTAAATTCGCCAAAATGATTGATAAGTAAAATATATGTATCTTATATTATCCACCACATAATGTTACTCTGTAAAATACACAATTACCGAGGAAACAAAAGAGCACAGTCTAAAAAAATAAACAGGGTTAAATTATTGTTATATATATTGCACAGTACCAGGTATGTGGCTAATGCTTTATAATGCCAACCCTGATAATACTAATTTACATATATTTGTTTCCAGGTGAATGTTAAAACATTCTTGCATATTAAGCCACTTAAAGCATTCTAATATATCCAAGTCTCTACTACCCTTGTATAATGAGGTATTTAAACTATCTTGAATATCCAGGTACTTAAAACTACCCTGTCCATCCAGGTATTTAAAAACTACCCTGTGTATCTAGGTCTTTAAAGCTACCCTGTGTATTTAAGTCTTTAAATTGCAGCAAACTGTGTATACCTGTACTGATCTCTAAAATATCCTGTGTATTCAGGGCTATAGCATACAGTATGGTTGTAGGCATCTTAACTACCCAGTGTTTCCAGGTGTCAAAAATATCAGTATATCCAGGTCATTGACCTATTACAGGGTCTGAGGTCAATGTAGATATATGAAGATATTAGCACATAATGCCTATATTAATATGGGACAACTTATTTAGAATTTAAATTTTTTGAGCTAAATCAGCTTTGTCGAAAATACATGATACTATACATAATAGTGTAGTTTAATTAAACAATCTGGCTGAAATTGCCAATTTGTACAGCAAGAGAGTGTGCAAAGTGAGTTAAGAAAACTGTGTGCAATAATTGTTACAAATCTTATATAAACTTAGCAAATATTTAATACATTGCACACTCTTGCATTTCTACTATATACTTTTATGACAACTGTATATTAGGCTATGTGCTTAATATTATTGCTTTTAATTTATTATATTTACCAAACTAAGGTTTAAGGTATGGAGAGGCTGTTTAAGTGTGTAATATCAGTTCCTAATTCATTTTATGAGGATTAATATGCCAATTATTAACACATTTTGACACCTTCAATATTTATAAGTACAGGTACCTCTTAACTAGTGTAATAACCAAAAGCAAAATGTTTTTGTTTCTAAATGAATGGGCATGCACAACCAATACACAGGCCTACCCTTTAAAGATGATTGTCCCTTGCAAAATACCAAAAACTTTGTAAAAATCATTTTTGAAATTAACTTTCCCATTTTAAAGTAACATGACATTTTTGGCGAAAAATAATATAAACACTTTCAGTCACTGGAAGTGTTTTATTATCTTTACTATAATTATCCATTTTTAAAAATCAGGGTACACTTTTTTTTAATTAAATAATTTGTATGATATTGCAAAATGAACAAGTTAATTTAAAAATTATTTTGTTATGATTTTTTGTCATTTTCAAGGGACAATACATCTTAAAAACTGCCATACTCATCCACACAATAGCTTTCATTTCCTCAATGTTGAAATTTCTGAAGAAGCTTGTGAAATATTTTCAATTAGATTAGTTTTAATTTGATAACAAATTACAATCATAAAGGAAATGTAATCTAATATTGCTTGTACTACCCATGAGGAATGCAAATTTAATAATTTTGTATCTATATTTTAAAAATTGTTATTCCATTAATAAGTTATTTGTTTATTTTTTGCGATATTTGCCAAGATATATGCTGGTTCACATATTTTATCTGATGCAATTATTGATGCTAAAGTGCCTGATTTCTCTTTGTTTTCAATGAAAGGATACCAAGTACTGTAGTAGAAGGTAGTAATTTAGATAGAGATGACATCATCAGATTCGGGCTAGACCTAGTTGTTGATGCTTAGAGATAATGGCATGGTTGATGTTTTTACCATTGAAGATGGGCAGCCAAAGATAAGTCGAAAATTATTGAAACCTAAAAATATGTACCTGGTTGCAATCCATTCAGTTATACAACACAGCTTGTTAATAGACATTTTTTTTTCTGTTATACATAGATACATAATATGAGTCTTTTTCTGGTTGAATACAAACCTGGCCAGTAGTTGTACAGACATTTACAAGGAACCAGATTATGTTAATCACTGACATTAATTTAAAATTAAACTTGGTGTAAATTTTAATTTTGTTTACAGTAAAACTTTACTGAACAAAGTATTTTCATCATCCGTTTCAATTATGAAATTAATTAATGTACGATGTTACTTTTGACAAAAATCAAGACTCGCATCTAAATAATATTGTGTATTTCATATCTTTGAATCTCACTAATATTTTCAGAGTCAAAAAGTGACACTCCCATAAGTTTAAATTCCTAAAAAATCATATCTTGCATAAGTTGTGGATGGACCTTCCCGGAGTGCCAATCAAACTTAACAAATGACCAATCAGAGCCAGGAATACGCGCTTGTCCCACAAACGCACGTGTGTGCGTATGTTTTCACTCTGCCGTTTTGAAGGGACCTTAGCAAAAATATCCTAGAGGGCGGGCTTATTGGATAGGTCTATTGCAACTTGCAACATTTTTTTTGATTGAGAGATTTTATTTAAGTTTTACCTGCACATTTCATCTCCTTATGTCAGCATATTACATTAGAATTGTCCCTAAAAAATTATTATTATGCAATCAATATTTGTTTTACAATGTTGTCAATAATATTAGAAACCAAAAGTTTGCATCTCAAAAAAGATCGAGGGTGTGTAAACGGTAATCGCAATACAATAGATTCATTCTACCTGGTTATGTAAAAAAAATCCGTCTATAGTCGAACTTTTACAATTATAGAGGGCGTTGTTGCATTATAATAATCACTACATAAATTAACGACAGAAATCTCAAAATCTTTATCCTTTCACATAGTTTTTAAATATAGATAGTATTAATGTTTTCGACAGAGTTATCCGTTCAAATGCAAAAAAAATGAAGTAAAAACAATATGGTGCAGACCTTATTCATCTTATAAAATCTTGGAAGGGTTTCGGCTCTTGATTTTTTTTTTTTATACCTTATTATTTTGGCAGTGCAGTGGTCTGAGGTTTTCAATGTAAATTTGTGCTGTCTATAATTATTCTTCCTATCCTTCATCATTTTTTTTTAAACTTTAAAGTGTTTCGTGCAGTGATGAATAAGACTCGTATCGGCTTGTAGTTGTAACCTTATAAAATCTAGTTAGGCCTAGACACCACTTTTCCACGCATTTTTGAGTCTGTTTTGCGGTCAGGGAAAGGTCGCAGATTTACCAATGCTTATGTCTTAGTTATTCCTCTGCAATGATTTATAAGACATTGTAGATTCGATTGAAAATATGAATAAGGTGCTCTGATAGACTGAACCAATTGATAACAGTTTCATACTATATAGGCTAATGTGCACCAATTCTTGATTGGTTTGAAGGGCCTACGTGTTCAGTGCACGTTTCCCAACATCATATGCTTTTCAACACCCCATTTTTTTTAATGATTTTTAGTCATTTAAACATCACTGTGATGGTAAAACTGTGTTTTTGGTCTTACAAATTTTATTTCCTTTTAGGCAAACTTTTAATTACATTCTAAGGAACATTCTGACGTCCGTCTTATTTTATAGATTTTGTACTTAATCTTGCACGCAAGTTGTATATGATATATTTAGTTTAGCTTTCGTTAATGTCTACTATGCAAACACTATTAAACTGCAACGAAAAAATAAACAAATGTTAATTTGGCAAAACTTTTAATATGCCTTCCAAACTATTTGTTGTTTTTGTTCATAATTATATTTAATAGATGGTTTGACCACATGCGCTGTGTTCGTTATGTAAATACACTGCTTTTTATACTTCGGAATGGTGATCAAACGTTAAAATATCTGGGGAAAAACTTATATTGTGTAATATAGTTATAGCTAGTGAGATCATGTGATCTGCACACCGTGTGCGAGTACAAAATAATGTCAGTTTTATCAACAAACCACTGGGCATCACAACAACCAGTAGAGTTGTGAAGATTTTTCTTAGGATTTTTTTTTTAATGTTCGGTAATAAAGGCACACGGCGCAAACAGACTTAAGTTCAAAACAATATTTGGTGGAAGAAGGTATTGTCTGGTGTTTTGTTTTTTACACCAGTCTTAACACCATGCTTCTCCGTCTCTCTTCATGAATGTGTGCCAAGATAAATTGTCAAAACTTATGTATTACTAACGGTAATAAACGTCCTAAGGTTATTCAAGCAACTATGTTGTCATTTTTTATCCATGACGTTTTCTTCGGGTGGGGTTGTAGAGCGACATCCAGCAATAGTAAGAATTGAAACAAGAACACTGGATGTCGATGATGATAATGATGATGGTGATGGTGAGGATGATTATGATGATGGTGGTGTTGGTGATGGTGGTGTTGATGGTGATGATAATGATTACCGTATTTTGTTATTGTTATGATAATAATAATAATAATAATTCTGGATTTATATAGCGCCTCACGTTGACACAACCTCGAGGCGCTTAACAACAACAGAGAAAAAAAATGATGATGTTAATGAGGATAAAACAATCATGTGGGACACTTTTTGACAATACCACAAGTGTTGCTAATCGAGTGGGTCTGCACTTTACTAGTAGATAATAATAATGATAATAATAATAATAATTATTATTATTATTATTATTATTATTTTTATGCATACCTCCGCCCACATCATAATTCTCCTTAGTATAAATTTCCACCGCATTGTCCCCATAAAAAAAATAATGAAAAGTCCTTAGGATTTGAACCCAGGGCTGGTAGTGTGGAAAACACTCTTCTAACCACTACACCAAACAGGTTGGTCGATTTAGGTCAAAAACCTGGGCTACCGGGAAATAGGCCTAATTGTTAAGAAAAGCTTTTTTTGTATCAATCGATGTACACGGATGTCCTCTTTAACATGTGAAAACTCCTCTTCAGTCCTCCTTGGGGAAAAAAGTAATAGTCGTTTTACTGAAGCCCCCTATTTTCAGTTAAACTTCAATGGTTTCTTACAGATAATATAATATTTCGAGCATAGACCTACATATTTTGAGAAAACGTTTGAAGGCTCAGTAGCCAGGAATCCATATAAGGCATCTAGGAGAGCCAGAAGGAACATATACACCAAATGATAGGGTTCAGAAGAACGGGTGCAATGGCGAGGTGGGTGCAAATGAATGCAGTCCAGCATGTAAATGGTAAATGTCATCGTTTTGATAGTATTTAATGCAAGTTGGTTTGGTTTGGTTAATCAGGGGGTTTGCTCAAAAGGAATATTTGCAATGGCGTGGTGCTAAATCTGGGCCAGGGGACAGTAATTTCCACTACCCCCTGTCGGGAAGAAGAAAAATCTATGTGTTACAGAAAATGTAGCTCTGGAATCAATTAAATAAGCCTTTTTAATCACAGATTTCAGCAGATTCACCCTACCCCTGAAGGGTTCAGTGGCGGATTCAAGGAGGCCCAGCCGGCCACTGCCCCCTCCCCACCCAACATAAATTATTAAACGTAAAAACAATCCACATTATAAGCCTGAGAGTGCCATTTCCGTCCATCTAGAGGTACCGTAATCATCCAGCCGCATCAATCAATGTGGGGCTGGGGCGGTCTAGACTCTCCATCTGTGAAAGTCCAATACTGGATCTCCTCTATTTTAAATTCCCAGATCTGCCACGGGGGTTCTTGGCTGCCACTGGCCCCGCCCACCGGGGCTTCCGCCAAAAAGAGCCTTTCCATCAGAGATATCGACGCCTTGTCCGGCAAAACCCATCTCCTTTCCTTCGGTGGCGGGGATACCGGTATCTCTGACATGGGTGGGACATTGTTCTTGAGAAGGCCAATCTTCCTGATGGAAATAGGCGTGGCCAGGGGCAGCCCAACACTCTGTGCACAAGGATTTGAAAGGCTTATTTATTCATTTTAAAGTAGTGTATTCTGTATACATTCTCTACGAATTGCGTTTTTTTTTTGTCTCCCTGACACGGAGGGACAGCTCTTTTCGACGGCACTGTATCTCCTCCCCCCGCCGGGCACGGCTTATTTGACCAAAAAATCATGTCTTTTGGCTTGAAAAGCCAAAATTTCAGCCGACCAAACAAAAGTAAAAACGACCTGAACAAAATTTTAAAAAAAAACGCAACGGTAAACAGAAAAATCATGGCAAACAAAATAGTAAAAGATAGGAAAAACATCCCAGAAATACAAAATTCAAATCAAAGTAAAAACAAACAGCATTACAGTAAAAAGCAAGAAAGAGATAAACAATTAAAAAAAAATCAAAATCAAGATAATATGCAGCATAAGTGT